AGTGGTGTGTCTTTAGACACTCCTAAGCACAGTGCCTTGACACAGTGGTGTGTCTTTAGACACTCCTAAGCACAGTGCCTTGACACAGTGGTGTGCCTTTAGACATTAACCACAGTGCCTTATCACAGTGGTGTGTCTTTAGTGGCATCTTGTACTATAATTCACTCATCCTACATTATATATGGTAAAAAATAAAATGTTGCTAACTAATATACCGAATGCTGGAAGTGACCATTATAATGTTAAGTCCCAGCTCTGCCAAAATTAACACTAACACAAGATTGCTGGCTGAAGCTGTGAGCCAGTTGATTGAAACTCAATTGCAAAGAAACACTTTTAATTACCAGTACTTGCAGCAGAGGCCTACCCTACTTGGAGATTTGTAGGCCTTACCCTCAGACAGGGGCTGTCGGTGTGAGCGCCAATTATGGAGAAACCATTGCCAGGCTTGTACAACGCCCCTACGGCAAATGCGATGATGGTGGAATAATTCCTGGTCACAAAGTACTGCCAAAAAAAACAAAGAGAGCATTTGAAACACTCGTGTGTTGGCAAAAAAGACAGTTTTTTTTAAATGAAGTTTTTATAGCAATCTTCCCACTCAGACTTGTGGAGTGTGTGACCATGACATTCTTCACTCATGGAGTCGCCATTGGCATCCCTAACCAGTTTTTGCTTACATTACACCCATAAAAGTGTTCATTTCGGATTAGAACATTTAAGGTTTAATAACCTTTAATGAGCACAGAGCCTAACCTATAATGGACAAGCACCTTTCCTGGTTGAGCCACTTAACTAACATTATGAAACTCAAAGTTGTTGTTTTTTCTTGGTGACAGCTCTCCATATACTATAACAGTGCTTAAAGAAGTACACAGACGCAGCACTGTGCTGCAACCTCAAGATTTTCTCGCTTGTCAGGAAACAATACAATGGAAATTCAAGAACAGCAGTGTTGCATATACAGCATGTACCCACACAATGTCTCCTTCGGTTTGGCTAAGCTTAATTCTTGTCAAGGTTTTTCTCTCGGTGTCTTGATTTTCGGTGATGTGAACATTTCTTTCTTGCTTGCTTTATAAAATTCTAAAAAAAATAGCCAAGATGAAGGAGAAAATGTATATGGAGCAGGTTAGCACGTGTAATCACCTCATTTCAATGTATGTACAACCATAATTCTACAGTATAAGACATGTTTGACTGTAACCCAAGTGCTGGAATTGATGCTCGCTGCCCTGATCTGATGCTCGCTGCCCTGATCTGATGCTCGCTGCCCTGATCTGATGCTCGCTGCCCTGATCTAATCAGTTCTGTCCTGCTTCTGCCCAGGAACAGAACAACTGGAGGTACTCACCTTGGTGTCAGGCTCGATGCTCCAATGCTCTGTCTCCTTTAGTTCTTTAAACCCAGCTCCCAGAAGCATGGCTTTGCACTCCTGCACAACTGCAGGAAAACAGAGCAATGCATTACCCCTCAGCCAACCAATCATGCTGGTTAACTCATCTTTTGCTTTTAATTATAAACTGTAAAGTGTTCCAACACATACAGTAATGCTCATACTGTTGGTTGCTTAACCTTTACACCTATCAGCTAGGAACTGTCAGTGACCTTAACTCAGGTTACACCTGTAGGCTCCTGCTGAGTGGAGCCTGCAATATGATGAACCTGTGACTGGGATATCCCTCCACTTGCTCCCGAACATTTACAGATGCCCAATATCAAAAGGGCCACCTTTTATCATCATCATCATCATCATCATGCATCTGACAAATACACATATCAGCTGAAGTGGCAGCTTGAGAGACTGGAAGAAAACCTCCACCACATAATTTCACTATGAAATTCTGGGCCTGTGTAGTGACCCAGGTGCAACAGTTTACAAGCTAAGGGTATTCAACACACAGGCCCCATAAGGTATAACTGCACTTCTTAAAATTGACTTCTCGTGAAGAAATAACAGAAAATAATGCCTTTGTAACAGCACTTCTGAGGTATCATGCAGAACAAGAGACTTCAGCTATCATAAATGTTTTTTAAGCAACTGGGTGGAGGAAAATGATGCTTAAGCCACCTGGAGAGCTCAAACTGGGGCTGGCGATCATATCCCAACTCAGATCCCATTACAGATACTGAACCACAGCATTTTGTAATACTTACTTGTGAAAACCCAGGTGTCACATTATATCTTTCCTGGAGGATCTTCAAGCACTAAAAGCTAAGTTTAGAGTTTAAAACTAATAAAAACTGACTTTGCCACTTGCTACTCGTCAGCAAAATTCTTAGCACCCTTATCAGAAGATCAATGGCTTTGTTAACTGACACACAAGTCTTTAAAACAGGCAGTTCTACATGTAAGGAGCTGACATTATGCAACAACTGGAATTTATATTTAAAGACACACAATTACAGAAAGAAAGCAGTGGAGTCATTATATTTAGATATATAGTAGATAAGTACAGTATATACCTTAAACACAACCGGAAATATTTGGACTGTATGATTTGATATTTGATAGCATTATATAATGTTTTATGTAGGTTGCAGTATCTCTTCCATCAAAGATTTCTAAAACAAAAACAGGGTTTGTGTACCAAAATTCTTGCAAACTGCTATGAATACCATGCTGGAAAAATTAAGGATTCTTGATGAAGGCCTGCTTAAAGCTTAAAGGAGGAGTTCCTCTGGGGGATCCTTAAAGCTCAAAATTCAGTGGGAGTTCTGCATGTGCCCTGCAGAGGTCCGAGCACAATTCACAGAGAATTGTCTTGTGTGGGCCTGCCCTGCTTAAAAAAAAATTGGGGTATCTTCCATATGAAGCAGAATAATTCATTAACTCTTCTATTGTATTAGGGCTAAACTGAAAAGAAGATTAATAAGCCATGGCCATTTCTTGGGTAATCAAATTGCTGACACCACATCGGTCTGTGGCACAATAACTGTGTGCGATTTATTTATACATTTCAGAAAAAGCACAGTATTCCAAAACACAAGTATCTCTGAAAAGAATATACACTTGAAAACAAACACTAAAAAGACACGAATGCAAACTGACGGCCAAGAGACATCCCACTGTTTTGCCAGGCCCTCTGAAAAACAAACAGCGCACGTGGTTACCATGGTAAGGAGAGACGCCACGGTTCACAAACTGAAGAAATTCCTTGGCTGCTGTCTGCACGGCTTCCTTGGAGCTCTTCATGATCGCCGACTGACAGGAAGACAAAGCATACGGACAGGCTGGTTACAGATACTGTATACAGCCACCTTTTTCTAGCTCTAGTTTCTACCCCTTTCATTGGAGAATGGGAAAAGTGAATGAAAAGGTGGGACTCTCTACATGCAGATAATCAAAGCCGCATCTTAGGTAATTGGTTTGCAGCCCCTCCCTGGGTAACTGCAAAGCAATGTTTTGTCTGAGGAACACTGTTGTGTTCCACTGTTTTCAAGAAGGAACACTAAGACAAAAAAGGCATTAGTCTGTTCTTAAGAAGGGTTACAAGCAGCACAGTGGTGAGTGGTTAGCTTTGCTTCCTCACAGCACTGTGGATCTGGGTTCAATTCTGGACTTGGGATAGAGTTTTTACGGGCCCCCTAAGTTCCCGTGTGGGCTCTATATTCCCACTGTCCAAAGACACACTAGTAGGGTCTGGGAAAATTGGCCCTGCTGTCTGTGTGTCTGTAACTGCAATGTAGTAGTTCAGGTGGGAAGCTGTGTCAGCATGCGTAGGCTGCAGAGGAACAAGTAAAGGTTTATTCCATGCTGAAAAGAGAAGAAAGGAAACACAACGTTTCGGCCGTGGAGCCTTCTTCGGGTGTGAGAAAGACAGGGCAGTAAGCAAAGGTAATGAGGTTCCATCTCCGTTCTCTGTCTGTGTTCTCAAAGATGGTTTTCCTAACTCCTACATCAGAAAGACTACAGAAACCAAACTTATCCTGCAGCTAGGATCACACCTTCCCCCTTCTCTCAGTGACAGACTACTTTTCTTCTAAATTCTCTCTATTCATTGTAGGTTTCATTTCACACCTCTCTTCATCTATCCTGACTTCACACCTCCTGATTGGCCTCTCTTTCTGTCCCCTGCTCCTGCCTCTCGCTCCTCCTCTCTCCCAGCTTTTGTTCTCCTGCTACATTACCTTTGCTTACTGCCCTGTCTTTCTCACACCTGAAGAAGGCTCCACGGCCGAAACGTTGTGTTTTCTTTCTTCTCTTTTCAGCATGGAATAAACCTGTTACCTGTTCCTTTGTAACTGTGATGGACTGGTATCCCATCCAGGGTGTTTCCTGCCTTTATATTTATTGCAAAAATACTTAATTTTTGATGGCTGCAATGTACTGCAGGTTTTCTATTGTTGGTCTTAAGTTGAGGAAACTTCCTCAAAAGCGCAATTTAGAAAGCGAAAGAGGTGTGGCTTGGAAGCTGTTCATTTTACAAATTCAGTAAAAAAAAAAAGGAAAGAAAACTAAGTTGTGTTTGTCCAGCCAGATGCTACATGAAGCAAACTGCTGTCAATTAAGGAAAACTGAAACTTGGAAAATGATGTGCATTTCAAAGCAAGCGATGAATTTTGCCAATGCACAGAGTATTTCGGGTACTTTTTATTCAAAGTGTTGTGGGATGGAACACACTGTAACAATCTGCCCAGGTAACTATTACCCAGGTTGGCTTATAGCAAACAAGAATTTAGGGTAAGTCAGTTTTAAGTACAATATTTTCAAGAACTGCAGAAACAAGCTAACAAGGGTCATGTACACTATATGACTCTATATTGACTCTAATTATTCCACAAAATAACAAGGAAAATTCCACTCTCATATGCAAAAATAATTCAGCCAAGAAAAAATTCGAATGATCAAGCGTTTTCTTTTTCTCCTTCCACTTTCAATAAAGAAAAAGGTACTTCAAGAAAGCTATACAAAAAAGACTTATTCCTGGTTGTGTCGATGTAAACTGCAGATTGCCTGTAACCAGTTTTCTTCCAAAGGAAACACTGTCCTCCTCCCGAGTTCATAGGTCAATACTCCAGTGAGTGATAAAAACGTTATACAATTCAAATTCAAAGTCCGTGAAGTCGAAGGTTTCCTCAGAGTAAACGTGATTTTCTACCCGGACAGAACCTTGTTAAAGAAACCTTTATCAGACAACAGAAAGAACTGGGCTCTTGTCCTTAATTCTCCGTCTCCAAATGAACATGTGTAGTTCAAGCAGAAACCCTAGTTACTATCAAGAAGCTGCTGAATGAGAAACTACCAAACTGGCTAGATGGGCCGAAAGCTTTAATCTCGTTCGTAATATTTTTTCTTACATTATTAAACTAACCCTTCCCAGTCAGGACAATATTGATGCCTACAGTGTTCTTGTGTTCAACAGTGTTCTTGGGTGAGTTCCGTTTAGAGCATTTTCAAAACAAAAATGCTAACAATAACAAATATATAACGCAAATATCAGTGCAAAACAAAAACAAAGAAATCTGTGTGCAAATGAAGTTGGAAACCGTTTAGTTTCCAAAACATTTCCCAGCTCCACTAACGCACCCTAATGCTGTTGTAGGTGGAAATAAACTCTTTTTTGTGAAATGTACTGTATTTTGTACATTGTTTTTTACTTTTATACAATTAGTTGGCAGACAAACAAAAACAGTGTAGAGAGAAAATGAGTGGGGTGCACAGGTTGAGTGGTGATTCTCCTCCTCCGAATTCTGCCACAGGTTTAAAGCAATGTATTTTAACTATGAACATTAACATCTATCAGACTACAATGAAAAAGATCTGGGGAATGTATACACAGTATTTATATAGAGCATCGGTGTGATTATTTTAAGAAAATATTAATATCTGTGTAGTTATTGCCTTTTTTCCATCGTTAGTTATTCTGCCGATCCGACCCAGTACCGAAAAGACGATATCTACATTATATTTGTAACTGTGGGATGTGGGATGTAGAAATACGTAAACGAAATAGATTAATTTTTCTTAAACCGCCTCATACTCAAATGCGTAAAATTAAAAGTAAAAAGAGGAATGTTGCAATTTAATTACAATTAGAATCCCCGTATCCTCACTAAACCTTACAGTAATTACTACACCAGGCATACGGTATCTACTGTTCACGCTTTCGATCGGTCTACTGTTAAGAGTGAATTACAATACGTAACAATTTAAAGTTCTGGCTGCAATGAATTTGTAATTTGAATTTAGCGGTTTAATATTTGTGCTTCAAAAACGTCAGATACAACACCTATACTGTATAATGCAACTCTTCAGATTCACAGAAGATGCCGGGTACTCTAAAGGATTTTCTTGAATTTCATCATTAATATTTTCATCTTCATTTGGCCGGCAGTAGCGAATAAGCAATAAGCATTCTTTTTTTTAAAAAAAAAAGTGTATTAACATCTTCCCGATCCTGTCTCACGTTGCAACAAATAAATTAACATCGCTAAAACTGTTTTCTTATTTAAAAGACAATGCTTATCTTATTAAAAGGGATTATTCGCTTTAATACAGTTCATACGCCTTGCCTTACCTGCATGAGTTCGTGGATGAATTCACACCGGCCAACACTACTGTCAAGACGAAATCGGAAATCAGCTTGCCTGAACCACCTACCACTGACACAAACTTACCCAGGCAAAATAATAACTGACGTGATATTGACCTCTGCTGGTGGGGAGGTTTATCATTTATTTTAAAGCAGATATGGCCAGCTTTACTCCAATTAGTCTATTAGAAACAGAAGTACAAAGCACCTGTAAAATGAACATCTCATACAGACGCCAGTATCGCTGTAGGGCAGATTTCCAGCCAGCCGCAAAATGAGCTGCATTTTGTGGATCGTAATGTAAAGGTTTTTAGGGTTAACAATACAATCAACAAGAACAAAAATAAACAAAACAGTCCCACCAAAAAGATCTAAAGAGCGGAAGTAATGAGTTGACTTGAGTTAAATTACAAGGTGTATGCGGGATAAAAGCAAATGTAACATAAAGGCAAATAGATTTTCACCTGTAAAACATCAAAGATGTACCCGGATGACGGACTGTAAAATTGTTATTACTGTGCTTGCCCTTATAGGGCACCTTTCAACCCCAAATATCCCAAAGCACATACTCTACAAGTACATAAAAGAGGGGATCAGTGTTCATCAGTGAAGTAGAGAAGAGAGAGTAATTCCCAAATGCAGAATTTTAAAAAGGTGAACACTCCTTTCTTTTGAAAAGCGCTTGCACTATCTTTATAGACCAAGTAATCAGGACCTTGGTTTAGGGTCGCATCCAAAGCACCATGTTCCCAGTCAACATATTGGGTCACTGGTTTGGTGCAGATGTAAGAGTGTCACCCGACCACTTGTATGGGCAACTTGATTTTACTCATTAAAGTTTTGGTGCCAATATTTACAGTGATAATATAATCACAGCCAGGAACACAAGAGGAGCTAGAGAATTGAAAGATACTGTACTGTGGTGCTGCAGTAAATTAGCTAACATACCTTGGTGCTAAAATAGTACCTACTGTAAATAGCATTTTGGTGCTAAATGTGCTTTTCTCTAGCTCGTATGTACAGTAGATATACTACACAGTGCATGATGGGGTTCAAATGGGGACCGGCATCAGATTGTTGGCCGAAAAAATAATAAAACCACGAGCAGAAACTCCACTCTGAAAAGTAAACGAGAACAATCACAATGTTTCAGCTGTTTGGAGTTCCCAGCCTTTGCAATTTTTTAAAAAATATATATTTTTACTTTTCAGGGAGGAATTCAGATTTCCTGTACATCAGTGGCTCCTAGTCCTGCTCCTGGTGACTCAGACCCATTGGTACAGTACAGTATATTTGTTACAGCCATCAAAATCAAAACCTTCACTGACGTAATAATAATAAGATTAATTTGAACTGTTCGTCCCCAGCTCGAAAAAGTCTTGGAGCTTAAGCTATTGTATTTTGTAAGTGAAAAAAAATCCCAAACTTTGTGGCTAGAAAGAAAATGCAAACATATTAAATTGAAGCACCTTCTTATAGTAAGTAAGGTTTCACTCATCTAATGAAGGTGAGCTGGAATGAAAACCAGCTCACCCACACCAGGACTGGGAACCACTTCTGTACAGTACAGTAATTTCAACACCTACTGCTAATTGACATGTTTGCCACTAGGTGGCACAAGATAGCTTTCCATTGTGTTGAAGAGAAAGGTCTATGACAGGATAGAAAA